TACCTAGCCTTCACCCTATTTTCGCTCTTAAGAGTTCATTCATGGGCTTTTCATGCGGCGCGCTCCTTCCGTGGGTGCTACCATGTGACATCACCGTATACGAACAGTCTTTCTCGGCCGCGAACTGCACTACCTGCACCCAATTTGATCCGCCCGCTATATGGTGTGGTTTGTTGATTGCTGAAAGAAGGACTTCCACGCACCTCGCATTTTGAATTTGCAGAAAACGTGCTAGGGTGACAACAAAACACAAGTAGTAATAGTAGTCTAGGTATACGGAAATACCCCTCGACCAGTGAAGGGGATATGCTCGTCATCTCCGATCAAGACATTCTAGGCATTTCTGGTTCCCTGATCCGAAGCGAAGTATGCACTGAGGAATGGTCAACGTGAGCTCCAAATTCTCAGCTGCTTGCTGTCGCGGCTGCGTGCAGATAACTCCTGAAAGACCATCAACACAGAGGGGCCGTGATCCGTTGCACGATGGCGTGGTCCCCGGGAAGCACAGAAGGCGGCTCATCTTCGCCACCATGGAGTGTCTGTCTTCCTTCGTGGTCTCATCAGGCTGGGATGGAGACTGGCCTTCGAAACTTGCTAGATCTTGGCTTTGTCATTTCTGGGGCTTGGTTCGATCAATGTGACACATCTTGAGTGCCGAACAGCAATACGAGAGGGCCGAGTCTGTCCGTCATCTTGGCATCCCAATCCGTGGAGTTACAACTTGCCCTGCGACTGTATGTTGCGAAAGCTGGACCTGGGAGCAACTCAATATTTCAATCCGGACCACTACAAAAACAAGTACACGATTCATACCTGCGCTCACAACAGCAACCATGCTTTGCCCCTGGACAATCACTATTTGGCTCTGGACTCTTTTGACCGTAAGAATGGGGAGACACTAAAGAGTCTCCCACTCGGCCGTGGGCTCCTTGGCAGAGGCTTGGCTTTTTCTACTAATCAGTGTAGTCCGCAGATGCACCCACGTTCCAAGACACATTTGCTGCGAGCTATTCTCAATTGAGAGTGTCCAATCATACTTTCATGCTAGGATCCATCGGATCCATTCTGCCTTGCAAACAGTACCATCGAAAGGTATCATTGAGAAGCTTCAAAGCAGCATTCTTGGATTGCCCACGTGCATAGTGGACGACTTTCAACTGGTATTCCAGTTCCAATGCACATGAAGATCATAAAAGAGAAAGAAAAAGGTGGCAAGATGGGTACACACGCTCGACATAAAGAGTAGGGCTTAGATGCCAGAATTTCACAATCCAGCACAATCCAGATATTTACACTACCCAGCACCTTCCAACATGCAATCACCACTAGCAACAATTAAGCACAACTGGGGAACCTTTGGTCCCCTGGGAAAACGAAATGTCATCATCTATATTATTGGGATCATGCTTTACAAGTTTGGTCTGGAGGCATTTACCGGTTCTATCATCGCCCTTGCTACCAATCGGTACGACTACGATGCTGCCATTCGCTCCGCCGCCCCAATCACCTTTGAACGGATCGGTCTTCTTACAGGCTTAAATCAGGCTTTCCAGTGCGTTGGCTCAATTATAATCGCTCCCTTGGTGCGGCGGTTCCCTACCAAGAACGTTCTGGCGGCCGCCATTTTCACCTTCGGAATTTTCTCTGCCATACTCCTCATAGTCGATGCGAGTACCGGAGGCCGTATTAAACCTTCCAGCTGGTCTCGAACGCACGATCAAGACGATTTGTCTTATTACGGAAATTACAATACCGACGGCATCATACCAATCTATTGCTTCACCGGCATCGGCTACGGAATGGTGGAACTCATTCGAAGAATCGTCCCCAGGGACATTGTGGGTGGCAATGTTGAGAAACTACGTTGCATGGATGCATTGGTTCATATGTTCTACGAGGTCTCGGGCACTGCTGGTTCACTATGCACCGCTTTGGCGCTGATACCAAGGTTGGGAAACAACTTCTCGTTCATTATCACGCCTATCCTCTTCGTGTGCGCTTCCTGCGTGTGGTGCACCATCTCGGGCTTACCTCGGCCACTTGAGGAAAAGGCCACATCGTTAACGAAGTCTACCTATTTCAAGATGGTTACCAGTGGCGGCTTACTCTTCCTTGACTCGGTTTGGACAGGGGCTAAGATCGTCTTTTCTTCACGCAAATATGTCTGGCTTCTTCCGGGTTATACATTTGCTCTCTACGGCCATCGCTATCTCGAGAGCAGCTTAGCGCCCATCATTGCAAGACGATACCTAGGCAACGCGTCCTGGTACCAAATTATGGTTGCTGGTTCGAACCTCGGAGAGCTATTTGGAGCTGGGTTTGTCTTTCTGTTTACCAGCCTGGTTAAGACGCCAATTCCATGCTTACGCCTTGACGCCTTCTTGCTACTGATACTCTGGTATCTCCCGTATTGGTATCCCCCCTATGGTCAGTCGAAATACGCTTGGACGGTGTTTGGCACATTCATACCGGTCTCTTTTGGATGGGCAGCTGGCGACGTATCCCTGGCCGCCTATATTCAAGCGTCACTGGCCAGAGTCGAGTCGAAGACGAGAAATGTCTCCGCTCTGGGAGCAGTAATGGCCTTCTTGTACTCGACTTATATTATCATCTACGCTATCACTTCACCGCTACTGGGTCGTTACGTCGATAGGGTTTACCGCGAAACAGGTGGAGCGCAGGGAGGGGATGTACATGGCGCTATAATATACATAGGCGGCGTGCAGTACACCATCATCGCTGCCTTCATGCTCGCCGCGTCCTTCGTCCCACGCGGGGCTCTCTCATGGAACCCCGAGATGCTGGATGGAACTGCAATGACAGACGAAGTGGAAATGGATCAAGCGAGTGGACAGGATGTCTCGAAAACCGAGGGTCCGTTGAAGGCAGATCAATCCTGACTCTTGAATATGCTTTGCAACACACTGAGAACTGCTAGATATGGCTGCACGTCAGATGCACGTACTGTGAAGTATTTGTGGCTGTGACTCGGAGAGGCAAATTGGGAACCTTTCGTCACTTGAGACAATATGCGCAATTGTGGTAGCTCACCAGTGCTGGTTATGATCAGTGCCGCATCGGAGTCCTGATGTTTTCCATGATAGCACTAACGTGTTATTACAACAATGGATACTTGAAAAATTTTCGCTCCTATTCAGGCTGGTTTTGGATTTTCCGCCATCACATATTGCTCGTAGAGGTGGCTTGAAAATGGTAGGTAATCTTGAGGCGGCCTTTGGACGACTTGAGTGCGTCACGGATAAATGACTACCACTAGTGGCTGCCTTTGCTTCAAACTACTAAGGATAAGCTTTACCATCACCGCCCAATAGATATGTGCTTTTCCTATACTGAATATCATTCGTGCCGCAGTTAGTTGGCAGCGGCAAGTACACATGTGCCACTCCTTTCGTTTTGATCCTGATGGTGGCCGAAAGCTGTTTTCGAAGTGCCGCAAAATAGTGGCGATGGACGAACGGCAAGGGTTCTAGGCTCAATTTTCCCTTCTGTCCGTCCATAACCGGCATTCGAATCAATCGTAATTAACCCATGGCAAAGCGAACTAGCCGAATATGGCCTGATCGCGTGATGTATATGCCCAGAGCCTTGTTGACCTGTTGGCATTTTAGCGTTTTGTCACTGAACGGCTCCAATTTGCTGTCCAACACCCCAGCCATTTCCCACGACTAGACTGCCACCAATAGACACATGGAATCGTCTTGTGGTCGATGTGTTCCGTCTTCCACGACATCCGTCAAAGCCACCACAAACATGCTCCAAAACAAAACAGACCTTCACGTGGTTGTCAACAAAAACACTTGGTCCGAATCAGACAGGGAATCGGCTCAGTCACGAAAGAGTCGCCCTCTGAATATTGGTTAGCCCGTGGCGCCACGGTTCTATAAAGCCGCGAGGAGCCCCGTTATCCCTATTCAAATATCTGTGAGAGTCACAAGATTTGGCCACATAGTTCTTCCATAAAAGTGAGCAAGATATGGGCGGCTCTTTCGCTCAATCGGCCGTACTTCTTGACATGTACGGCCTGCGAAAGCGGGCTGCAAATATCAACGTCGACAGAAATCATGTAAAAAAACATACCAAAGGTGAAATATCATTCGAGAAGCAAGGGACCCGGCCGACCGGCTCAGACTCACCAGAGTTTCAAGAATTCTGGCTGCCTATTCAACAGCTACGCGGCACTGTTAGCATCACTAGCAAGAACAGTCTCCGATTTGACAAGATACGCATAGGCCTTGAAGGTGTGTCTTTGTTGGTTCATAATTTGTTTCGCTACTAACGTTGTGATCTGATCGATTAGGCACATCTCCAGTATTCATCCAACGTACTTCTTTTCCGGACTCGAGGGTGAACGTCCAAAGTCCACTTGAGGAAGGTCATGATGTCTTCTTTGGCGCCACGCACAAGGAAGCTGAGCCTATCTTCTCTATTGTCCTGAAATGCCCTGGCCACTTCTATGGCTGGACGGTCGTTCCGGATCGCGTCGATGAATCGTTGCAATTTCTGGGAAGATCTGTACTTGATGCTTTGAAGCAGAGAGCCCAGAATGAGTTATAGTGTCATATAGGGTAGTCGACGCTTTTTATCGGCGTCAAAGTCGCAAGGTATCTGAGAGGACAAGCAAGGCTGACAGGGTCCTGGGACACCAGAGCACTATCCATTAGTGTAAGTAAGAGCGACATCGGGCAATTATCAAGATAATCAGACCTTTCTCTTGCGCTTTCTGCAAGACTGGCAGGCAATAGTTGCTCTAGGGAGGAACTCACGCTTCCTCCCAGGACGGCGTTGCGGCTTACGAGCCGAAGGTCTCATCATGATGTAGTGCCAGAAATTTGTACCTCAATTCGGTGCAGTGTCGCTTGACTCATAGGTCGACCACTATGGTAGCATTCTGGAGGTATTAAAGAGTGCGCGGTGTGGACTTTTCACACCAGCCCGACGTCACTATTAACCTTTGTCTTCGAATATCAAGTGCGGCAAGACGTCGCAACGTCGGTCGCTCTTGTTCCTAGCTCTCGAAATATGACAAGCGTTCTGTCGCACCATTGTCTCCAAATATGAGGCACGCTTGCGGCATTGTGTGCAGTGCCGCCTCTCGAGGCCTATAGGCCGCATGAACCAAGTGGTTCTACTCCGTTATAATTGGCCCGTGGAAGACGGACGTAGAATGCTGAAACAGCTTCGATGTATCCCGGACCACTCGAGGCGGTCTCGTCGAACTCGACATGACCATCTCACGGTTAGCTGGTGATCATGATCGCCCAACACATCGACGCTCAGAAGAAAAAGCCTAAGCTTCTTACCGACTAGTCATAAGGTCTTTTGCATCGGGTGGAGCAAAGCGACAAGGCTGTTAGCCGCCTCGGCCACGCAAAAAGAATTTCAGAGAGGTGGTAGTTCTTAAGTCGATAACGATATCCTCTGGAATGATGAAATCTCTGCCGCTCTAATAAGTTGAGGTAAACCCACGATGTCAGTGGCGCTTGGCTCGAATTGACGGGCCAGCCGGTAACTATTACTCCGACTCTGCGGCAAAACGTTCCCGAGCCGGAACTGTTTGGCTTAGCGATTCCCCACCACTTGAAGTTCTTCGCCAGATAATGGCGGCGAAGCAGTCGTCGCTTCTATCATTGAGGCTTAGCTTTCTGCGGTTACCGAAATTTTTGGGGGTTCTATAGTACTTGTAAGTGGCTCTAGTGGTGAAGGGGCCTAACACCCTCTTTTAGTGGGCGTCAGTTGACCCACAGAATTGAGGAGTCTAACCCGGCCCTCGGTCATTGCTTGCTTATAGGCGAACACTCTCCAAAATCTAGTATCCACCTCACCTTTATTGTACTTATAGCATGGTCCTTCAGATAGCCAATTATCCAGACGATAAATATACCCCTCACTAGGGGTTCGAGTTTCAGTATACGTTTCTTAGGGGCCGGTATGCAGAACGATATCGCCCATGATACCGCAAGGACAGGAATTCGGCCCGAAAATCGTTGTCAAGGGCAGCTGTTCACGGAAGGGGAGCCAGAAAAGAAGGGACATGTCTGCACCAGAGATTTAGCTCA